TCTGATTAATGAAATAAGTTAGTATCGGTTCATGGTATCGGTTAACTTTTACGAGTATGAGTACACACACATTTTACAGTATCCGCCCCGATACCAGTATCGGTATCGGTGCATCCCTAAAGATCAGTGTTTGTATTCATGTCATTGTCTTGATCCAATTACAGGTTTCAGATCAACAGCAGTTATTTTAAAGTCATAAAGTCCTGTAACTTAACAGCAACCATTCTGTGACATCACAGTGCATTTGCTGGATGCGCCTGCAGGAAAGAGTAGAGCTAGCTTAGCCGTTTCTGCTGGACATACAGAGGACATGATGAAATTATGATATGATGATATGAAATGTGTAAAAAATGATTGTTGACCTCATCAGTAAGACCTTTCACATTCATCCTGGTCGTGCTGTGTGTCTCTGCAGGGAGGGAGGTGAAGACGGAGACAGTCAGGGAGACGGCAGCAGCCAACCAGACACCATCTCGATTGCATCCAGGACATCCCAGAACACTGTAGACAGCGACAAGGTAGGAAACACCGTCGCTGACGAGCTGACGACCCACAGCTGTATCAGCGCTACAGGGTTTCCCGTGCAGCTTAAATGAGCAGCAGCAGGGGCTGGGCATGCTTCCTCAGCTGGCAGTGAGGATTCAGAGCCATCAGTGTTTGGAGTGTTCAGCTCACACATGGTAATGAGAAGTCATCAACAATGCTGCCAGAAAAACAATCAGTTGTGAAAGCCCTTTTCAGGTTGTGTGCAGGCAGCTGCACGGACACCTACCAGGCAGCCTCTGACATCAAAGTAAGACCTTTGTGTTGCTTTAACTGTGTGAAGGTGCAGAATCCAGGTCGCTGTTTCACATGCTTATGTTTAACTTGTGCAGTTACTCTGAGCCACAAACACTCGGCTCCAAACTGTTTTCACTCTGTGCACTGATGACGTCACATCACTGCAGCTCAGTTTGATGTTTGTCGGCTATAATTAAGCCCAGGATCACATGGTCAGCTGCACAGATAGATGATAAAGTCTCATTTCCGTCTGTGTCGGTCACAGGTGGAGGTTCACGTTCACTGCCAGAAACAACTTTGACCTCTTGAGCTTTTCCTCTGCTACGAGTTCTCCATCGTGAGAGCTTTTTAGGCCGTTTGTTAAATTTTTTCCTTTTTAAAAGATGTTTACTTCATCACGAGGATGAGCTCCTTATACGAGGAAGCTCAGTCAATATGAGCAAACAAAAGGGCATAAACGTAGACATTTCATATGAGTTTGGTGTCTTGGCTGTTTGTCAGCTGCTACACACACACATGGAAAACCTGACACAGATGTCAGTCATGGCCTCCTGCTGTAGAGTTACATAGTGTGTCCTTTTCACAATGCTCACGCCTACACGCTGGCTCGCCTCTAAATGTCAGCGGCACACAGAACCACAGCAGACTCGGTTTGTCTGAAACATGCGTCCACGCTGTGCACGTATACGGCGTAAATGCCACAGCCAGCTCTGCTCTGACCCTGCATGTGTGTTTTACATGTGTGTGCACCCCACCTCGTTCTGTCCAATGAAAACAGAATGAATTTTTCCAGTCCTTTCTGAGTGTGGGTGTGTTGTTGCTCTGCTCGGGTTTATTGTTTCTAGGATTTAGAAAACTCCAGCTTGCCTATTTTTGGAGCCTCCTCTCAACCAAACCTCAGACGTAAAAAAGCTTTTGTCCTGCAGTTTGCTCTGATTTATTTCACAGCTTCAACCGTGACAGTCACATGTCTTTATCTCTGGTTCTTTCCGGCTCTTTTGTAATATGATAGTTTTCATGCTAATGATGCTAAAGTCTTAGAGCTGTTTGTCTTTTCTTGCAGTTCATGGTTGTCGTTGCCGGTCGAGTATTTTCCCCAGAAGCACAATGAAACGTTGTTTTCTGCTCATGTGTCGAGGCTGATGCTGTAATCGTTTGTTGTGTTCCCATGGCTCTGCTGACCCGCGGGGATTTATTATCGTACAAGTGCATCAATCGCTTGTGTATCTTGGAGACAACTGTATGAAATCAATGATCTGAGCAGACGTGTTTGTTCAGTGCAGCAGTCGTTCTTAATGTGTCCTCATCAGCAATCTGA